TGTATGAGCAGGACGTAAGGGTAGTTGAAGAAGGTCAAAATGATGTATGCTAGGAAAGACCCCAATGTAGCCTTCCCTATTAAAAAGGCGGGCGGACTGGAGTTGTCGTTACCAAGGCTAGTCAGGAAAGATGAATATATCAGTTTCTAGTGGGGTATGTCTTTGAATAAGGATATCTTTATTTGGATTGGATCTGGCATCAGCAATGATGGGGACAGTGCAATTGTAAGAGTAACTATGTACACCTCGTCATCTTTTTGGGTTACTTTTGGTATCAACCTGACACTGGGACATGGAAACCTGCTCGTGAGGTCATTAAGGTTAGCTGAAGTGGAGGCAAAAAACTGAGCAAAAAAAATATGCCATAGGAGAGATGAGTCAGTGTCCACTATTGTACAGGTCAGGGGTGCTGATACGTTTGCGCTCCCCTCCTCCCCGTTGCGAGTCGCTCTTCCCAAGTTCTTTGTGGAAGAGTATTTCAAGGGACATGAGAACATAAAGATATCACTGGAGGACGCTTTGGTAGTACGAGGATGGTGACACAAGTGCTACATGAGTGAGGTAGTATTCGGTCTGTACGTAGAAGTGGGATCCGTGCTCCTCAAACGAGGACTTCGAAGTACGACTTACATTGGTAGCGCCTGCACCCATTCTCACAATCCAGACGAAAGACTTGAATACTGGGATGAACTCCGAATGAACGTAGGCAGGTGGTGAATGTTATTACTTTCCTCGATCCGTGCTAGAAACTTTTAATTCAAGTATTTTTACACATATGATTGCATGATTCGTATGTATTTATGACGCCTCTAACTGTTCTGCCAAATGGGTGTCGAAAAAATTATACAGAATCGGTTGCCTTTAGATTTGTTAAGATGGGAAAAGAGATACTTATTAAGAGTTGTCATCAACTTACGGCCTCACACGTCGTCGCTTGCTGTACTTGTACAGATCAGCAGCGGTGGTCATGGTTAAAGATGGCGGTTTGGCTAAGGTCTTGCTTTGGAGGAATTCATCTCTTGCTAAAGTGCTGACGCGAGAGTTTGTAGACGAGTCAATGCCTCTAGACCTTAGAACTTTGTTGTTTCAAGGGAAGGACTTGCCTAACTTTTTGCGCAATTATCGTGACTTTGGCTTTGAGAAGAAATGGGATGAGAGGGCAATGTTGAATATGCTGCCTTTATTTGTGTGTGAGGAGTTGAGCGAGGAGGTATATGGTTTCATGCTGAGATCGAGAACTTTGCGTGAACTCGAGGGTTTGTTGAGCTTGAGGTTTCCCGAAAACGAAGTCGACAACCATCATTGTAAAGACCCTGAACGAGTAGTCGGCGGTATGTCGGCGCAAGGGGAACTAGGCATTATACTGAAACACGTGAGGGAGTTGGAAGAGAGAATGACACAACTAGAAAGGGACAGGAAAGGTAAGCGAAAAGTCCCTAAGGGATTGTCAGACGAGCTAGCTAGTGGCAGTGGGGAGAAAACAAATGATGATAATGGAGACTCTCTCCGATCTGTAAAGGCTGAGAAAAAACGGTGTGACGACCAAAAAAGGAAAGGAGATAAGGAAGTGATTGATATGGAAGAAGGACCTAAACTTCCTACGTTGACCAAGGCCCAACGAAGGGCAAGAAACCGAGCTTAAATGAGTATGGGTCGTGGACGAGGTCAAGATTGGGGAAGAGGTCGAGAAAATGGTGGTCGAGAAATTGTGGCCGGAAGAGTAGTCAAGTATCTTGGAAAAGAAGAGTGAATTTGTGGAATGTTGCCTGCAGGCATTGTACCCAAGAAGGGCATACGATGGGGTTTTGCCACGTCAGAAAGATTGATGAAGCAAATGGTATGATAAACACCAATATTGAAGGAGGTGTTTTTGACAGGTTTAGGAACCCTATTGACCCAAACATACCTGGAGGGACGAGACATGAGGCCTTGCGACGGGAGTGTGAATGGTGGACAAGGACGACGACCTATATTAGCGGCACATAATCATGAGGTCATTGGACGATAACAACGTCAAGAAGTCAAATATAGAAATATTTTCCTTTAAGAAGGGATAATTGCAAGATGACTATTGAATGATGGAATAAGGAAGGTATGCAGAAAGGTAAGCAAGCAGGGCAATAAAATTTTGTCCACAGAAGAAATGATATATGACAAGTGGGAGTGAGAGTGGAATAAGATAGAGAAGGAGCTGGGAGAATATAAGCAGATTCTTCAGATATTATTGAATGAAATGATGGAGTCCACCAAGATAATTAAGTGGAAAGAGGAACAGAGATTTGTAATCATGGGTATTACTGAAACACTCCTCGCATAAGGACGGGAGAAGTGTGAGAGTTCAAAAAGGAAAACATCAAAGGATGGTGGAGAGCAAGTAGGAATGAGTGAAAAGAGTACTAAGCCTATTACCAAGTAGTGCCTCTGAAGCCATTGAGCCACTGGCTTCAAAGGTGGTTGAACAAATTCTTCAAAGTTTGCATGGACGACAAAAAAATAGGAGAAGGTCTTACTCCGAGGCAACAACTCATTCGTTTGAAAGGGCAAAGAGTTTGAAAGAGACATCTTCACATGACCAAGAGGACAAAGGAGAAAGTGAAAAAGTCGTCGTGGCGCTATATGAAAGGGATATAATTGAGAGAAAATTGTCCTTGGTACAAAAGGATGAGGCTAAGGATTTTTGCTAAGATAGATAGGAATAAAAGGGCCTTTACCCGAAATAGGCCTCAGGCCTTGTCAAAGTAACGCAGCACATACCTTGTAAAAGTAAAGCATTGTGAAAAGGTATCTCGCCAGGGCTCAGAAACGTGAAAGCAGGTCAAAGKTCAAGTTCTCTATCAACAGGCATATCTAAAGCTAAGGCAAAGGGCATTGTCAAAAGACTTACCTGTTCACCAGGAGATGTGTATGTCATGTCTGTTCGGGTAAGAGTGTGTCTGTACGTGCAACGTAAAGTGTCTGTTCAAGTAGTAAATGTGTCTGTTCGTTGAGAGTTGTGCCTGTCCGAAGGTAAAGTCAATAGGCACAGTCCCAGTTTTGGTCTAAGTCCAGGGGTCAGTCCAGATCCAGACTTTCAAGTCCAAATTCAGGYCGGGAGGBCTCAGCRGCARTTGAACTTCATTGGGACTCTACTRGGACACATGCAATGCAGGGTCTGGGACAAAAGGAAGGCTGGATTGAGCCAATGCAGACCCAGCGAGGAGTATAAAGGAGGCAGCCAGCCTCATTCCTMGCCARATCTCSACTGGCTGTTTCAGCGTGGAAGTGYTGGAGCACTTGTGCGCTAAGTCAGTAGGAGCAGCGCTGGAAGAAGCAGATGCGCTGAGTGAGGGAAGAAGATTGCATGCTGGAAGTGATGCARCCATAGCTGCCCAGSAAGTTAGCATTAGTAGTAGTGGGTTAGTATGTAGCTATGAGTAGTATTTAGAGTAGATCCTCATGAATGAAGGGTGTGTATGCATCGTAGGAAGAAGGGATTGAGGCTGAGAGTGTTCATTCAAGGTTGGGCTATGGAAGATACTTACCTGAGTTGAATGTGGGCTGCAGAGGTGGCGCTGATGAGTAGTGACCACATTGATGACTTGGAGGTTATCTGCAGGAGTAGCGCTGATTCACTGGAAGTCATATTGATGAGCTGACAAGAGATTGGGGTTGCGCTGATCAGCGCTGGACTCGGGGGAACTTTGAAACACTTTGTATTCATATTTCTGATAATATAAGCCGTGAAACTTGGTCATCTTCTTCTCTACCTTTGTCTATGGTTGATACTATTGATCGCTGCGTGTGAAGATGATGCATGACATGTACACATCTGCGTGAGATGGTCCCCAGGACCCATGCAAAAATTTGGTATCGGAGCAGATGCTCGCTACTCTCATAGCGCTGGTCTGATCAAGGCCGGCGAGAAGAAGTGGTGATGGAGGAAGAGTGAAGGAGGGAGGAAGAGAAGAAGAGTGTTGATAGTGGGGGAAGCAGGTCGAAGAAGAAGTGACGAAGTTACTTACCTGGAGCGTGCGGAGCGTCGTGGAGCATCATCGGCGGTATCTTCAAGAAGAGAGAAGCACCTCCTTTTCCCTGAACCTGCATGCATGTGTGTGTCCCCTACCTTCTCTCTCTCTGACCCTCTGAAGGTGACTGCTGCTGATCTGGTCAGGAGTCGAAGTCTAGATCTGGGGTGTCATAGCTGTCAGGTCTGAGTCGTCAGAGTTTGGTGACCCAAGGGTAATGTGTCAGGGACTGGTCTCACTAAAGTAGGGGGTCCAGCATTCTGCGAATAGGAGTAGGTCTCTCTCCTATCCCTCTTGATAGGCAGGCTGGGTATCGTCATCAAGAACCAAGGATCGATGTGGGAAGTGGCCATGTGCCACATCAGATAGCATGTACCAGGCAGTATAAGGATGATATTGAGCATCCTCAGGGCCTGTTAAAGCCCGAAAGAAAGAAAAGGGTATACAAAGTATCTCTGCCTGGGTGGGTAAGTGAACCCATTGCATCTGACTCCTCTGCGACATACTCCATATCTGCACCAAGCAACCAGCCAAGTCAGTACAAAAAAAAAAAAAAAAAAAAAGAGAAAGCAAGACAACAGAAACACATTACCAAAAGTCCGATCCAGGAGGCCAGACAACACATCAAAAATATATATATACTATTTGACGATATATATATATATATATCGTCAAATAGAATATATCTATCGTCACATATCAGCTTAATCTATTGTTGATTGTACGCAGCACCTTCTACTGTTAAAAAAAAAAAAAAAAAAAAGGGGAAAAGGAAAGATATATGTACTCCATTACCGCAAGTCAAGACCAAGTCGGTAAGTGGGAGAGTACCTTGGTGACCCGGCGGAGGATCTCCTGTGCCGGCAGTCATCATGGATGACTATCCCATCCAGGGCGTGTTGGCCCTTTCTGTATTATTGGGGCCCCTGTTCAGGCTGATGTTCCCACTGGGGTTCAGACGTGTGTGCACGTCCCGCATGCTATGCGGGTCAGGGACAGTGAAGTCTGGCCCCACACCTGCGAAGCAAGCCGAAATTGACCGCAGGCTAGCGAAAAAGGAAAAAAAAAAGGAAGCAAAGAAGAAACAGAAAGGAGAAGAGGCAAGGAAGAAGATGAAAGAGAAGATGGAGAGAGAGTTGGAAGAAGAGTTGAAGAGCATAGAAGAAGAAGAAGAGACAGAACAGGAGGAAGAACAGACATTGCAAAGACGTCGTCCCATCGACATTCCGGGGAGTAGTACAGCACAGAAACTTCCCGTTGAACCCTTGAATTGGGCTCATCAATACTACTACTCCAGCGAATTACCGAAAGAGTCGGAAGAAGAACGTGATGTGTTCATTGCCAAGCTGGCCACGGTGACAGATACCGTGGAGCGAAACCTGATGATGGAAGAAAAAAGGGTTGAGTTGCACAGTAAATTGCTAGCAACTAGAAGACAAGAAATTGATGAAAAGAAAAGACTGCAGGCAGAAGTGGAAAGACTGCAAAAGGCCCTAGAAGCCCAAAAGGAAGACCCCTCTGCAACTGAAGTTCAGGTAGCCTTACTCAGAGAAGCAGTGCTTAACACAAGACAAGATATGAACTTAATGCGTCAGACCCTGCAAAGAGTTGAAACGCATCGGGTGGAATTCGAAAATGTCTGGAATAACTTCTTAGAGAAGTCCGCGAAGGACGTGGACCATCATGTTCAGACATATATCCAGGTTTTGGAYGATCATGTCACTAAAACATTCACCCCGRAAGTCGTAGAGAGGATTGTAAAGGGAGCTGGAGATGACGGAGGAGATGGTGATGGCGACGGCGATGATGATAAGAAAGGAAAGAGGAAGATTGGGGATCCGAAMGAAAAGCTTCCTCAGGAAACCGAGCAGGTCAACAAGATAAAACTTAAACTGCCCTGGACCTACAATGGAAAAAAAGAAGAAAGTGTGTTATACTGGGCGGCAACAATCGAAACTTACGTGTACGGACAGCGTATCCCATACTGGGACACGGTGTTGATGGCAACGTCGTGCATGGGACGAGACGCCATGAGCTTTGCCATCTCGCTGCAAAAAGAGGCGGGATGCAGCTCTATGGTCGAATATTCGCAGCAAATGCGTATTGAGGATTTCCTTAAAGCGGTAAGAGAGAGATTTGAAGACAAGAACCTGGCAAGACGCACAAAAATGTTGATCCTYRGCCTTCCTGATAGGAAATGGAAGAGTACTTCTGCACTAAAGGCCACTATGGATGAATTATTGCAATGCCCTGATCACGGGTTGACGCCGGCCCAAATCTTAAACAGTTTTGCAAGAGCACTCCCGGATCCCCTGAGAACGCAACTTTATC